GCAGTTTGATATGTTTCTTGCCAAACTGCTAACGTTTGCCAGATCTAGGTACTATCCTCCCACACGTGCTGACAGCTGGCTGGGCGAGGCGCAAGTGAGATGACAGCGGATGACAGCAGATGGAAACTACCAGATCTTGGGGTCGGAACTGTTGTTTGGTGGCTTGCCCCTTTTGACGTGACATACTTTGTGAATTGCAAACTCATTCTGGCATGGTGTACTTGATCCAGTATGAACTAGTGTGTTTGTGCACATGTGTCATGCTCGTGGTTAGAAAAAAAGACAGTACACACATAGTGCAGGTGTTTCATCCAAGGGCACATGTTGTGAGCACAGCTGTTGTCGGTTGCAACTTCGGCCAGGGCATGGGAGACTCTCAGGCCGGAGTGCGCACAGGAGCCATGGATGGATCCATCATACTTGTAGGCCTCAAACTCAAGTGGGTCACAGAACTGTCCTACAGGTCACATAAGTGCCTTAGGATATGTCACTTTGCTGACTTTTGCCGGTCCCTTTGATGCTGAGTCAAGCGTATAGCTAATGATCGTAGCTAATAATGACTAGGGAGTTGGATCGCAGAATGTATACCCGCCGCCTCGATAACTAGGTTGCTGAACGGAAATGTGCCACACAAAAGAATTTTAAAGCCACCTAGCACGGAAGTGGCCAACCAACACAGTTCTGATAACCTGATGTTTTGCACAGCATGTTTGCCTGAAGCTTAAACCTTGAATGGGTAAGAGGAGAGGCTGGACCGGGTCCAGCTAGACAAAGGGTTCAGACCATGAATTCAGAGATCAGCAACGCATTATGTGCTGCAAACTCAGGGTTTAGTTGTTCAGGTTGCTTCCACTGGGCCTTTTGGGAACTCCCGGTGCAGACAAACATGAACACAAGTAGCTATATAACTAACAGAGGGATGTTTCCTTCCAGTCGTGGGTTGACAGGTCGACCTGCACCCACACTGTGACAACAGATAGCAATATTATATAAAAGGTATATGTTATACATTTCTGGAGCGTAATATGTCTGTGCATTGGTAAACAGAGACTGTTTGTTGGTTCGACACTGCAAGCTTTCGAAGGAAGCACAGCAAAGAGGACAGTTCTGGCAACTTCCACTCAACTTGGCTCACAGATCTCTTTGGGTCAAACTGGCTCCCAAAGCGTAGCATGAAGCTACTAGGAACAAGGGCATCGCTACGTTCGTAGCGTTCTTGCTAGCTTCTCCCCAAAGAGACACGAGACCGACAGCGTTCGCCACTGACTTCGCCGTCTCCGACTTGTCAGCCGACCCTTCAGGCGGACATCGTGCAGGCCGTCGCGCGTCGTAACGCCAGTCGTTGGGACCGAGCGGCGCCGGCGAATTCGGTGGAGCCGTTTGGGCTCTTTTTGGTTGCTGGCTTTGGTCAGTGTGGGCCCGGGAAAAGTGAGAGAGGATTGACCATCCCATTGGTTTGTGGCGCTAAATTGCAATGTTGAAGAATCTTGTCTCAGCCCGTCATCGCTGGTGGCTTTCATAATGTGTTGCATTGTGGATGTAAACTGCCAACATCCAATTGATGGCTGCTTCCCTCTTGAGCTACCACCAATACAGTTATACAATCATATATATATATATAGCGCAAGAACAGCACGCTGCTGTGTGGTTTGCAGGGACCAGCCGTAGGTTCAGTGGTACCCTTTTGTGTCCGTTTGTGTTGTTCTGCAGGTATCTGCAGGTACTAGACTCTTTCTGTTCTGAGATGCCAGTGCTTTGTCGGGTTGAAACCACCAAACAAATACCCATGGCTCTGGAACCGAAGAGTTCCACACACTTAGATTGTTGCTCGCAAGAGCTAGGATCAGTACGAAGTCCCACTTTACACGCATTAGACCTTGACTGAAAAGGAATGCAAACCGAAAGGCGATGAGTCCGTGGAGTTGAAAGTGTTTCAACACTGTTTTGTGGATTGCACGGCAATACGCCATTAGACCTGGTTAAAAAATTGGCAGGTACGTCACGGTGATCAGCCGTGATATCCGCATGTACTGTGGCCGCTTCGTTGGACCATCGCGCACAGTACATGGACGGTCCCCCTGCCTCTTTTTCGCTGAGAAACTCTTTGCTAGTAGCGATACCAGGAGCCCTTAGTAGCAAAACCAGGGGG